TACTGTATAATCTGCACTCATAATTCTGTGTTCTGTCTCTAGTAAATTTAGGCCTAGCTTTTTTATTTAATGTTGTCCTGCTGCTGTCCAGTTTTACACAGCTTTGTCATCTGCAGTCTTTTAATTATTGTAGTAAAACACCTGCCTGTACCGCTTTATCTCTAGTACATTTCAGCCTATTCTCCCACATTAAAAATGTCCTGCCACTGGATATTTTTTTTTTTGCTGCTGTATCATTTTAAATCTTCTAATTCTTAGTGAGAACTTGATAGAAATTGGTCAGCAGCAGGACAGCAAGAACAAGGAAAGTGACGGTGAACTATTGGCCAATTTCTATCAGGTCTAATATAACTTGTTCAAAAAGCATGTGTTACTGGTAAAGCTAACTGAAAAAGCCAATTGAAATTATTCAGATTGGCGTGCTGTTGCTGTATATAAGCCAAGCTAATTTTTAAAAGAAAAAATCAATTTCACTGACAAATTTTGCTGCCAATGTACACTATGGCTGAGACTGTCTGTGAAAATCGTACTGTTCCTGAATACCATGTACAATTTTAAGGCATCTCTTAAGTATGGCTTTTAAAGTATTTGTATATTTTTCAACAGTAGTTTACCTTTTAGCCCAAAAAATGCACACAATTTAACAAGATTCCCCTATAGACTTCAAAGGGATTCACCTCTACGTTTGTGTTTTGTGAATTTTAAACAAACTTTGCCAGACCTTTGGTAAATCAAACAAGGGCAATTTTGCCCATCACATTTGGTGGACAGCTGACCATCATATTTGCTTGTTGGACATTCCATTTGAAATCCATGGGCATTAATACAGAGTTAGTCCTTCTTTTTTGGATATAATATCTTCTACTTTCCACAAGATTTTGCAGTGTGTCTGTGGAAATTTGTGCCCATTCAACCAAGAACATTTCTGAGGTCAGGTGTTGATGTTGTATTATAAGTTCTAGCTTGCAATAGTTGTTCCAGGGTGCTTAACAGGGATGAGGGACTCTGCAGGCTACTTGAGTTCTTCCACATGAAAGTAACCCAACCATGTCTTTATGGAGCTGGCGTTGTGTGCCTGAATTTTGGAGGGTACTTTGGCCATATAGTGTATTTGTTATAATTTTTTTCCAACACTCATTTTACATCTTCTCAAATGCTATGGGCATCATGAGGGAGGTCAATGGTTTTCATTTATGTGACATTATGGAGAATTTATAAAGAGAGGCAAGGCTACATGGAAGAGGCAAGATCAGGAATATCGTGCTGCTGGAATCCCCCACAACACAAATGACAGTGGATGTTTTGAGCCCTTCAATGTTCACACCGTGGCTGACATATCAAGTTTGGGTGAACTGTGGACTGACCCTTTTTTGCTATTGATAAGTTGACATGACGGATGGCGCATGACATGACAAAGCAGAGAGAAAGTACCCAAACATACTTGAGTGTATGTGGACACTGACCTGAGCTGGTGACAGGACTAGTGGTGGAAGGTTCAATTATTTCTACAGTAGGGGAAGAGGAAAGAAAAACAAAACAAGAGGTTGGGTATTAATCACACACCGTATGGAAGACAGACATAGAATGAGACAGGCAACATTCATGCAACAAACAGGGACAAAGACTGTTCATGACTATAAATACCTGGACATAAGACACAAGTGACATGAATTTATGTCAAATCATACCACAATGTCTGAGAAGTCCCCTTTACCACCAGCTGAAGGCTGAAGGCTTTTGTTATCACTCTCTCTTTTATTATCTATTTGGATTTACAGTACAAGGGAAAAGAAAACCCTGGCCGGTTGTGATGATTTAAGATTAATCCAAGTCTGTGGGCATATGACTACTCATCTCTACCTATTACAATGAAAGGATGGTTGAAGCCATTATAAATCATACAGCCCTATTATTTTTTTTTTAAATGTAAGATAAAGTAGGGAGGGTTTACAACCTCTGTCAGGTTTTACTGCTTTCTATGTCCCCCTAAAGAGAAATTTACTCTATATTCTACCTGGTAACAATTTTAAAAAGACTGTCGCCATATTAAAAAACTTGCAGGTAAATGCACATGAAAATTAATTGTTTTACATGCTTATTTGCAGTGTTTTTTTCATTCCATAACTTTTTTTTTTCCACTTGCTAGAAAATTTGTCTAGTCAATTCCCTAGCACAGCCCCCTCTCTCCTTCTTCTGGGAGTCTGTAATTACTGTCTTGCCTCTCTTCCCCCCCTCACCTCCCGTCACCTCCCATTTCCCCTCCCTATATAACCTTTTATGTAACTGCAGGGGAGGAAAGAAGAAAAATATAATATAGTATGTATGAATGTAAGTTAGGGACCTTAACTTGTATGCCCCTTGAGCGTTACCTGACATAAATAAATATAGGTGCCACTTAGGTTACAACTCTTAGTCTTCTGTTGACCTCACAACCAAGATGGCTCAACAGCACTTTCTAGCTTTTGGATGTCTACACTCTCTAGTGTTAGTAAATCAACCTCTATGTGTGCATGATCACATAGGCTAACAAGCAAAGGAGTTCAGAGGCCAAAAAAAAACCCAACCAGATGTCCCTAGGAGCAGCTGAAAAAAATCTCCCAGTGTGCCTGAGGCCTTGCAAGTGAATAACAACCATAAAATATGTTAAATGCACATATAATCTTGTAGGAATATTTTTGTCTTTTTAAGGTGTCACCAGAACAGAAAAAGTGGAGAAATTTGCCATTGAAGAAACTTGTTGTGGTAACACCTATCTAAGAAGACATTTCCCTCACTTTGAAGAGATTTCCCTCCCTCCCTTCCTGGTATGTCCACAGGACATAAAGTAAAAAGAAATATTCTTAATGTGACATATATGACAAAGAAAACTAACAGGCGTTTTAACCCTTTTCTACTCTACCTAAAATTAAAAGAACAAAAATCACCAATAAACGCTCCAACTTCAATCACAAAGTTTTGGTCTTTTTTAGGTCTTTAATATTCCAGTGCTCTACAGTGTTCTAGAATAGTTCCCTAACGTCTACTGACATTTAACCCTATTTCTGGGTAAATTACCAATGTCTACCTCCACTTAGCAGGGTGACCAGTCTCGTTTCTAGCAGGATTGACATCCTCACCATCAGTGTTGCTTGTGCAGGCACAGAGCGGATGTGGATTCTTGTTGGGTGTACACACTATCTCCATTCCAAGCTCCACTCACCTCTTTAACACTCCACCAACACTGCCACCCACTTGACCACCACTTTAGCCACATGCAGGTTCCGTGACTCCATTCACATCATGCAGGCAGCCAGAGGGGACTTTAGAGTTGTAGACAGGCTGGGTGACCCTACATACAATGCAAGTCCTGTAGAATGTCCTGCCAAGCTCTCCCCCGGCTGCCATTAATTATAAGAGAAAAAAGTCTTGTGATGAAATCAAAGTTCTCAACATGCTTAGAATTAAAAATGGAGGAATGTAAGTGAAAAACCTTTATAATTTTTTGAGGGGTAGAAGGAGGGAACATTTTACAAAGTTATAGATCAGCTTTAACAAAAGCATTCCTCCAAAGCTTCTCTCCTTGTTAAACTATTGCAACAATGGTCACCTGACTCTGCCAAAAGTTTTAGGACATCTGGGTGCTAGAAAATTGCCCTCTTCCCAGCAGTTCTCAGCACCCTTTACCTCTGACTCATGCTCCTTCTTTTGTCCTTTTGTCTCTTAAAATGTTTGTCCGTGTATTGGACACGTTTACTTCCAAACCTTCCTCTAGATTGACCTTTCCCAACCTTTTAATATGGAAGAATCCTTGAAATAACTTTCCAGGCTCAGGGAACCCCTTCCAATAATTACTATACCTACAGCTCACAGTACATTAGCATGATGGTTACTGGGAAGAATGCTCCTTATATTTGTGGTCATTGAGAATAATCCCTCCTTACAAGTAGATAAAAAGATAATTGGCATCAGTGGTTATTTATCTGACAGGCAAAAATTGCTCATTGCTTAAGGAAGCCCTAGCAACCTCTGGAGGAACTCTGGTTAAAGTGTTACTAAACCCACAACAGTAAAATCAGTCTGTATATGCAGTAAAGCATGCTTGTTATACTCACTGTGGAACCTAAGGGGTAATCCTCTGCATTGTGTAAAAAGACTATTTGATCCTTTCTTCTCTGTTCTTCCCATTTTTCAAGGGACCACCAATTATCTCCAGACTGAACCGTAGGCATGCACATGCTGAGTTTGGTATATATGGCTATTTTCTTGGGAGAGTGCATGTGATCAGCACAGGGCCAATCAGCACAGTCCAGACAGAAGTCAGGGGATTCCCATTCTCCTAGAGCAGAAAGAAAACTCCTACAAGCTTTAGCTAGTGCTGGGCTGGACACTGATAGAAGTCACAAGACTGCTCTAACTGCTGATGAGAAAAGGTGTTTAGCAGTTTATATTTACTAAAATAATTGCATTTCCAAGTTCTGTGTACTGTGGGAAACAGATATAGTGAATGCAGGGCCGTGGGAAACAGATATAGTGAATGCAGGGCCTTGGGAGACCAGATATAGTGAATGCAGGGTCCTGGGAGACTGGATATAGTGGATGGAGGGTCTGGGGAGACCGGATATAGTGGATTCAGGGTCCGGGGAGACCGGATATAGTGGATGCAGGGTCCGGGGAGACCGGATATAGTGGATGCAGGGTCCAGGGAGACCGGATATAGTGAATGCAGGGTCTGGGGTGAGCAGATATAGTGGATGCAGGGTCTGGGGAGACCAGATATAGTGAATGCAGGGTCCGGGGAGACTAGATATAGTGGATGCAGGGTCTGGGGAGACCAGATATAGTGAATGCAGGGTCCAGGGAGACTGGATATAGTGAATGCAGAGTCCGGGGAGACCGGGTATAGTGAATGCAGGGTCGGGGAGACCGGATATAGTGAATGCAGGGTCCGGGGAGACCGGATATAGTGAATGCAGGGTCGGGGGAGACAAGATATAGTGAATGAAGGGTCCTGGGAGACTGGATATAGTGGATGGAGGGTGCGGGGAGACCGGATATAGTGGATGCAGGGTCCGGGGAGACCGGATATAGTGGATGCAGGGTCCGGGGAGACCAGATATAGTGAATGCAGGGTCTGGGGAGACCAGATATAGTGAATGCAGGGTCCGGGGAGACTGGATATAGTGAATGCAGGGTCCGGGGAGACCGGGTATAGTGAATGCAGGGTCTGGGGAGACCGGATATAGTGAATGCAGGGTCCGGGGAGACCGGATATAGTGAATGCAGGGTCTGGGGGAGAGCAGATATAGTGAATGCAGGGTCCGGGGAGACCAGATATAGTGAATGCAGGGTCCATGGAGACCATATATAGTGAATTCAGGGTCTGGGGAGAGCAGATATAGTGAATGCAGGGTCCATGGAGACCAGATATAGTGAATGCAGGGTCTGGGGAGACCAGATATAGTGAATGCAGGGTCCTGGGAGACCGGATATAGTGGATGCAGGGTCCAGGGAGACCGGATATAGTGGATGCAGGGTCCGGGGAGACCGGATATAGTGGATGCAGGGTCCGGGGAGACCAGATATAGTGGATGCAGGGTCCGGGGAGACCAGAAATAGTGGATGCAGGGTCTGGGGAGAGCAGATATAGTGAATGCAGGGTCTGGGGAGAGCAGATATAGTTAGTGCAGGGTCCGGGGAGAGCAGATATAGTGAATGCAGGGTCCGGGGAGACCAGATATAGTGAATGCAGGGTTCAGGGAGACCAGATATAGTGGATGCAGGGTCCAGGGAGACCGGATATAGTGAATGCAGGGTCTGGGGTGAGCAGATATAGTGATTGCAGGGTCCGGGGAGACCAGATATAGTGAATGCAGGGTCTGGGGAGACCAGATGTAGTGAATGCAGGGTCCGGGGAGACCGGATATAGTGAATGCAGGGTCCGGGGAGACCGGGTATAGTGAATGCAGGGTCTGTGGAGACCGGATATAGTGAATGCAGGGTCCGGGGAGACCGGATATAGTGAATGCAGGGTCTGGGGAGAGCAGATATAGTGAATGCAGGGTCCGGGGAGACCAGATATAGTGAATGCAGGGTCCATGGAGACCATATATAGTGAATTCAGGGTCTGGGGAGAGCAGATATAGTGAACGCAGGGTCTGGGGAGACCAGATATAGTGAATGCAGGGTCCTGGGAGACCGGATATAGTGGATGCAGGGTCCGGGGAGACCAGATATAGTGGATGCAGGGTCTGGGGAGAGCAGATATAGTGAATGCATGCAGGGTCTGGGGAGAGCAGATATAGTGATGCAGGGTCCGGGGAGACCAGATATAGTGGATGCAGGGTCTGGGGAGACCAGATATAGTGGATGCAGGGTCTGGGGAGAGCAGATATAGTGGATGCAGGGTCCGGGGAGACCAGATATAGTGAATGCAGGGTCCGGGGAGAGCAGATATAGTGAATGCAGGGTCCGGGGAGACCAAATATAGTGGATGCAGGGTCCGGGGAGACCAAATATAGTGGATGCAAGGTCCGGGGAGACCAAATATAGTGGATGCAGGGTCCTGGGTTTAGTAATACTTTAAGAAAGGCTGCGCTAGATCATGTACCAGCATTGCTTTTTTTTTCTTTAACCTTGCAAAACTGTTTTGCTGAAAAAGAGAGTGAGGCAGGGAAGGGTGGAGAATAAGTGGAATTCTGTAATCTAGTAGGTAGGGTTGAGACTGCTTGGGATTTCAATGCAACAGAAACACGGGTTGATTTACTAATCAAGGCAAATAAGCTGTTCACTGTGTAAGGGAATTTTCACTTAGCTTGGTGAATGCGGTGAAAAATCATTTTGTAAAGAAAACCTAATCATGTGCAAGGAGAACAACAAAAAAACCCTAGTATTTTTACTTGCATGATTGGATAATGGAAGTCAACAGAGTTTCGGTCTCTTTCACTAAGCTAAGCTAAGGGAAAATATGGGAGAGGATGATTGGAACAAAGTGGTCTGAAAATAGGTGAGTATACAGGTCTTTCTTACACAGGTTAGTTAGAATAGCTGTTAGGGGGAAGAAGCATTTTTTAGACTAGTTAAGCTTTGCAAAAAATTCAATTTTAAACCCTTCTACGATTGTATCTTTCTACCCGTAATGCACCCCAGGCTGAACTGTGTCTTCTGTTGCCATTTTCATGGTTTGAATTGATACTCTGGATGCACACTAAATACTTTTCGGTGTCTTTTTTGTAGGACTATATACTGTGGATTGTCTATTATTTGACAAGTCCACTGAAAGCACATTAAAGTTTACCTTTAAATGTATCGAGTTGTTTTTCTGAAACACAAAACCTATCTGGAGCCGAAACGTTTTTAATATTCCTGCACAGCGCAAGCCGCCTTGCCAGCTTCTCAATGTTTGATCCGCTAAATCTGCATTGCTGCTTGACCCATTTTACCTAATTGTAACAGGAGGTATTTTTCTCCAACAGTAAATTGGGTTCTGGGAAGCCGAGGAGAACAGAAGATCCTAAGCCGAACAGCCTGACAGCGTTTCCACTTGAAGCTCTGGAAAAAGACAGACGCGCGAACGCCGAGCCTGGGATGCCTGCCAAAACAAAGGCGAGCTGAATAATCCGCCATAAAGTCAGGTGGATGCTGTGTAGAGTGAGAGGCTGAAAGGATTCCTTGTGTGAGTGTCACAGTTGCTTACTTTGCAGCAAAACTTTTTGCCTGGCAGCTTATTGAAGAAGAGTCGGGAAAGGTGCACAACTTGTTTGAACGGAGGGGCTGCAGAAGCCCAGCGTTGTAGGAAGTATAAATATGCCTTCCAGTTATGAATTCTGTGACACCGATCTATAGTCTAACTGCGAAATACCCCCGGGTAATATTTAGGTTATTAGGCAGCATAAAAAATGGCATCAGATGACCTTAGATTGCAATAGCATAAAACAAAAAACTATTTAAAGCTGTTTGCCTGCCAAAGGATTTGTAAATGTGTCTATCCATTTCTGAGATTTGCACAGACTTCGCACCACTTTCTTTGTTAGGGTTCGTTTACAGTACTGGTACCCTCTGAAATTTGGACCACTTTGCATGGGGGGTTTACAGGTGGTGAGGGGGTGCCGTTATGGGGAATTCGTGGAGTGGCCCCATTAGGTTACCTGGTTCCCGCCTGGCCTATTGGACAATGATGTCCCGGCAGGAATGCTTTAGTTCTGGGAGGACATCATTCCTCCCATTCTTGCCACGCAGCGTGGCAATCGGTGGTGAGTTGTGTCCGTCGGACACAGCACATCACCGATCAGGCTAAAGAGCCAATAATATTGGTCCTTTACCATGTGATTAGCTGTCGTAATCACAGCTGATCACATGTAAACAAATGCTGGTTATTGGCATTTCCTTTCCTCAGAGCTGTCATTGTCTGAGGAATGTAAAGCCAGTAACTGGCTTTCTTGTGACAAGGGACATTTACACTGATAATCAGGGCACTGATCATCAGTGCAGCATATCACTGGCCATCAGTGAAGCATATCAGTGCCCATCAGTGTCACATTATCAGCCTCATCAGTGCCTCTTCATCAGTGCCCATCAGTAGCCATTAGTGTCCATCAGTGCCGCCTCATCAGTGCCCATCAGTGCCTCTTCATCAGTGCTCATCAGTAGCCATTAGTGCCCATCAGTGCCACCTCATCAGGGCCCATCAGTGCAGCCTCATCAGGGCCCATCAGTGCAGCCTCATCAGGGCCCATCAGTGCAGCCTCATCAGTGCCCATCAGTGCAGCCTCATCAGCGCACATCAGTGCAAAAGAAAAATGACCAATTTGCAAAATGTTATAACAGAAACGAAGAAAAAGGGTTTTTTTTGTTTGTTTAGCAAAAAACAAAAAGCCAAGTGGTGACTAAATACTATCAAATGAAAGTTTTATTTGTGTGAAAAAAATTAACAGAATTTCATTTGGGTACAGTGTTGCTTTACTGCGCAATTGTCATTCAAATTGCAACAGCACTGAAAGCTGAAAATTGGCCTGGGCAGGAAGGGCGAAAATGCCCAGTATTGAAGTGGGTAAATAGGTCACATTAGGTGGGCCATACCACTCACCAAACTCAATAGGGGAGGGATAATTATTTCTGTGCCATGATAAAAAGCAGCAACAGTGAAGCATGTACACCTCCATCTGCTGTCTTTGTAGATTAAGGGGAAGGAATTGTGGGGTGGTAACAATGCAGCTCAACCACATGTTTTTCCTGCTCACTAACCACATGTGTAATTAAGGCCTTATAGTTTTAAACAAAAGAAGAAATACAGTGGTGTCCCTGTAAGCGGGTTGCAAAGGAAGCAAATAGAAGGTCAGAAGACCATCAGAAGCAAGTCAGAGAAAGCAGGTCAGAAGGTGGTCAGAAGATCACAAATGCAAGCTGAATGCACCTAAAAGGACTCTTCATTTGCCCTATATATACTTCCCATGTCCCTTACACTCATCATATCCCAAAGTCTACAGAGTAGTCAGGTCAGGTTGAATGTCAGATCCTGAGAAACACAATTGTGCAGTTCTAGAAATCATAAGAGTCACAGCATAAATCATTCAATATGATTGCAATTAATTTAGCTGTCTCCATTTTAATAATTGTTAGTCTCATTTCTTTCCATCCAGTACATACTGGCAATTTGATTGAAGGTGGGTCTTTGTACGTGAGTTTCATTGTTCAGCAATTTCACTTAAAAAAAGAGGAAGAAAACACATGCCGAGTTCCAAAATCAAAGTTCCCAAATTTAATTTAACAGTTTGAAGAGTATCCCCCATAGCGAAGAACAAGATCATCATTCTGCGCGGCAAAATTCTCCAGAGGAACTTGACTTGCTCAACGTTTGTTGGAAGCCGGTGGTGAAATTACAGTAATTAGTAGCTTAAACTATTAATAAGCCAGACTGCCAAGTTGCGGGAGAAGAAAATTTGCATTTTCAAAAAGCAAATTAGACTCGGCAAGGCAAGACAAATACACAATAGCATTTTTTACCCTTCTGATTAGTGACATTTACCTACGTCTATGAAAGTCAGCAATTTAATTGTTGGTTTACCAGTCATGACGTTACACCTGAAAAGATAACATTCTGAAAACTTTCAGAAATTTTTTGGAATTAATTTGAAAAGGATCTGATATGGCGAATCTACAATCCAAAATTAAGTCATGTTCATATAGGTAGTCACCTGGCATGACAGAAAACTTAACCCTTAGTGAAGTTGTGTTTAAATATTCACCCAACCTCAACATTTTCTCAATCTCTGAGTGACAGCCACAGCAAAATACTCACCTTCATCCCCACTTATGAGTTTTACAACCTGACTGGGGCTACATGGGGTTTTGTAGAAAAAAGTCCCAACCACAATGGAAAATCATACATTTACAGTTGTCTCCAGAACAGGGGGTCATGGGACAATTGTTCCAGTGATGACTATCTGATGGGGGGTTTCACCCAGATTCCCTACTCCAAAACTAAAAAAAAGTTTTAGTCTTGAATACACTATGGTGTCCATTTATGAACCAGCGGTAATAGATCGCTGCTCAGTTCTCCGGTATTCTCGGAGAACACAGTTCTCCTGTGAATGCAGCTTATGAAGCAGTTCTCCAAACGAAGGGAGAACGATCTCCAAACGCTGGAGAACGGTCTACAAACTCTGGAAAACGGCTGATTTTACTATAATCTCGCGAGATTACAGTAAAAGATCAGTTTACTAAGTAGAGGTAAATTATCTCTGTTTAGTTTGTGGTCCCTCCGATTCTCCAGCTCTGGGCTGGAGAATCTGGAGGGAGAACACAGATCTCCAGCGAAGGGCTGACATGATCTCCTGAGTGTCATAAACTGTGAATGACCAG